ATCTGTCACTGGCCTTCAGGTGGAGTGCAAGGCATTATCTCTGCCCTCCAAGTCCTGTTATCTGAACAGTGGTTTCCCATCTAGTTGTACACCATCATGTTTAGGAAGAATTGAGTGTGTTCTTCAGATTCCTTCTTTGAAGACTATCCCTGATTTTGCTGTGTTTCTGTCCTTTTGCACTGGAGTGCTGTCATAAGTTCCCTGTTTAGCCAGGCCAGTCTCCTGATAGATCTACTTGTTTTACTGAGTATTCAGGAGCAACAGTTTGTATGATTGTAGGAGGTTGTCCTTAAAGACCTGCTGCCAGATTTCCTGAGCTCCTTTGCCCTTCAGAGCTGCCTCCCATGGGGTCCTGCCCACTGAATAAATCAGTCTCTCTCATGGAGTCCAGGGACTGTATTCTGCTGCTCGTTTTCCTCATACACTCTCTCTTGAACATGGCTGTCTCCAGGTCACTATCACAGCAGCAATGTGATTATCACATCAAACCCTTACTTCTCATGTGTGACTAATAAAGGCAGAACTGCTGCATCTCCTGTTCAGTTTAGAATTGCATTGGCTATATGGAAATAGCTCAATTGCAGAATGCTTATTCCATTGATTTCCATGCTGGATAAGTACATTGTTCTGAGATAAAATTTAGCCTGGAATTGTTTTGGTCTCATTCTCACAGTGCTGTGTGTGCCCTGGCAGCTTTGGGTTGTCTGCATTTTGTCACACAGGTAAGCTGCTCTCTGGATAACACAGCTATGCATAACCAGGGCTTAAATATGTATGAAATTAGGAGTCTTAGTCATTCACTCTTCTCTAGATTTTTTTCCTGCTCTTTGCCTTTCTATGTATGTTTTTATTCCTTCTCATCAGATGTCTTCCAACAAAAATTGTTGCTCCATCAGTGTGGCCAGTGCAAAGAGAAATTAAAGTACCCGTTTCTTGGCAAGCTGCTTTATTCTTTTATAGTGGTTTATATTTTCTTTCTGCTGTTAGTGTTCTTGGAGCAATAGTAGGATAGTTGATGGCATCAAGACTTATCCAGACAGGAAAGAACTATACAGACATACACTGATTTTAAAGAGTGAAAAAAAAATCCTGGAAAATGTAAGTTTTCCTTTCCTATTATGTTATGGTTTGATTTGGTTTTGGCTTTGAACAAAGCCAAAACCAAATCAAAACAAAAAAGAAACTGGCTGAGAAAAAGAAAAGCTGTCCTTTGTTGCCATGTTGTATGAAGTACTGATTAGAGAAATTACTGAAGGTGAGGAACACACAGGGTAGCCAAGGAGGGCAGACTCATGAAAACCTTTTCAGTACTGATGGAATTTCTGCATGTGATACTAGCTGTGGTACTGTATATTCTGTCTATTAGCCTTGCTTCTACCTTTGCACATTTTAGGGCAGCTGTATTTTAATAAAACATTGACATATTAATGTGGCATGTTAAAACAAAATAGAATAAGTCAGATGACTGGAATATCTCTCTGAAAATGAGCCAGGCTAGTCCTGTAAGATATGATTGAACAGCACGTTTGAAGATTGACTTTACTGGGGCAGTGTAGCATTAATAGGATAAAACTGCAGGGACTATTATTAGTGACTCAAATTCGAATTTTTCACATATCAGTCTCATCCAGGTACATTTTTCTGAAAAAGTTTTGGTCTGACATGACTAAATTTTACCAGATGTGGTTTAACTGACTTAAGTCTAATAATTTTCCTTTGAAAGGTAGCTAATAGCTAATAGAGCTGTCTTGGAAAAAGTAAGTTAATCTGTGAATAAGAAATGTTTCAGCTTAATACAGCATGCAATGAATATAAAGTATAAAAGGGCACACTTTTAATTTAGCAATGTCATAAATTTACAGGTACTCCTACAAGGAAATCAGGTTTGTTAGTATTATTGGTGTTATTGCTGTACACTATTCTGCTGTAGCTCTCAATTTAATTTTTGGATCATGAAAGTGTGTATTTTTCTTTTAAAAAAATTGTGTTGCTTATTTAAATGCTAAGATGGAAAATAATTTCAAGACATTCTACCTCATTACTTATTTAAGATATTTTTTATATGCCTAATTTTATACTTTCACACAGTAAAAGGTGCAATTGTTTCTGGTATTTTAGGTTTCAGGTTATTCAAGTTTCAGTTCCCAGCTTGTCTCCTCCAGACTGTTTGACAGCAATGCCAAAACCCCAGATCTCTGTAAATGCAGTTCTTGCAACAAAACCAGCACAAAGAGTATGCAGAGATTGCATACTCATACATAAGAAGTGCCTTACAGGAGAGCTCAGAAGAGAATCTCCCCACCAGAGCAGATTCAAGCACTGTTTCTTTCCCCTGTGCTCCTTTGCAGTGCTGGAGTCAGCCTCCAGCTGCAGCCTGACTCTGACAGCAGCCTTTGGTGCAAGTCATGCACAGACACCAGGAGGGCTGTTCCAGAGTCCCTGGCACTGGGCAAAGCTGCAAAGCTTTCTTGTAACAATGCTTTGTCTCACATCCCTTCTAGGGGCTTAACATGACAGCAACACTGCCTCAGGTACCTTTTTGTCACCCAGCAGTTAATCTGTCATGTCTCTTACTACTCTTACTGAGAAGTAGGTGGACTTTTTTAGGTGTATGGAACTGGCAGGAGATGTAGAAAAATGTACATTGGAAGGAAAGCCAATGAAAGGATATGGATTATCAAACATTATATATACACAGACAACAGGTTTTGGGTTTGTTAGCATAAATTTCTATTTTATAGTAACACTAGAATCCTTTTCTAGTATTTCTTCAGAGGAAAAGTAGTATCTTGTCAGGTTTATAGTGTGATAAAATAAACACAAGGAAATAAACATGTTCACAATATAAAATCTTCAGTAGTAACTCCAGTTTTGTTGGTCTATTTTTTTGGTACCAAATCCTCTATAGAGTATACAAAAAGAGCAGAATAAGTAAGAGCCTTTAAGTACCAGTTCAGGAAGAAAACAGTCTTGTCTGGAGTACAGGTCATCTGCTTTAACAGCATCATTTCAACAGTCTGCAGCATGAACCGAAAAGCCAGAGTAATACAGATCAAATACCTGGGACATTGAAACAATCTTTTCTTCTTAGGTAATATTCAGTAACAAACACTTATAAAAACACATTTCTCATAATAACATGATTTTTAATATATAGACTGGTGCCATAAGTAGTCTAAAATAGAGGTTCTTCATTGAGTAATTTTCACTGGGCTTTTTACGCCACTGAAGAAAATCTGTAGAGGGGCATAAAAATTGCAACCAGCAAATATCCCCATGGATAAATCTCCTTAAAACAGCTATTTTTCTTACACTATTACACCATCATCAATAGCTTGCTGTTCAGGGATACAATTTGCTACCAGAATAAGTATTTCAGGTACTGGAGTCATCATGTTTGTGGAGCAGTTGCTGATTGTCTGCTAAGATGACCAAGGTAGCTGGAATGGTTTCACGTGGACAGTTGATGGCAATGTTACTCAACTGATCATTGCACCCATTCCTCCAGCTACTGTGCTTTACTTCCTGCAGCCTGCAGGAACAAGGAATTTTTTTCCTGTTGCCAAATTAGTACTGCTCCATATTCAGATTTTTTTTTCATTTAGTATTTTTTTCATTTAGTATTTGTTACATATACCAAGGTTTTCAGTTCAAGGACATACAAGGTCTTAATTTATAGAGTAACTACTTATGTTTTTATAAGTTACATCATGGCTAAGCACTCAAGCCATATCTGCACTACACACTTTGGCCAACAGTCAGAGAGAAAGGTGTGATCCTCATCAGCAGCACACTGCAAATGCCATTACACTGAGGGAAAAAACCCCCAAACTCTCCTTTCTGCAGAAACACGCTCAGAGTTTTGCTGGTATGAATTAAAGCTACACCATGGGAATACCCAGCCAGTACCCCATGCAAACAGTTACCCTGGCAGTGCTCCTGGGGGTGCTGTGTCTTCAATGCAACTTTTATCTTTTTTTTTTCCCCCCTCTTCCTTTCAGCTGTTGTGGTTGCACAGCTCCTTTATTTTTGTGTCATCTTCAAAGCAGCATACCACATTTTCACAAAAGGAAATATTCAAAATGGTAATTTAAAAAAGTTTATTACATCAGTGAATCAGCAAATAGTACTTATTTCCAACAAAGCCACATTGTCTTTTTGTCTTCTTTCATCTAGATTTAGCTGTATTTAATAGTAGCAAAAATGGGACTATAAAATGTAGAATGGAGATGAAATGAAAAAGTTGAGATGTAATCTGAGGACTATTCAAATACAATGTACTTCCAGCTCTTCTACCCAAAATGCAGCCAACTTGTGCACATTCATACCTTACATTTTCATATATTTGCTATAGAATGCAAATATTTTGTACCCAAATAAAAACCTCCTACAGGATAGGAATATCTTTAATTGCATAATGTGGGTTCTGTTAATGAATTTATAATAATACAACCTCTCAGTTTACAGACCAGGAGACATTAACTGGAATTATGGAAATGGTAATCAGATGCACTAGATGGGATGAATAATGGAAATACTGACTTTCTATCTACTGATACTCCAACCCACCAGGTGATTATTCAGTTAAATATTAAATACTCAGTCCAGCCTCAAAATAATGAAGTCTTAAAATCCCACGTTAAGTTTACTCAACAGTGGAAAATTGATGCTGGAGCATCATGCAGTCTTCAGACACACTTCAATGCCTTAAAAAAAAGTTTTAAAGGACCTAGCAATTTAAGAATTCAACTGTAAGTATTCTCCAATAATGGTCACTGCAAATTTCAAATCCAAGAGCTTACTTCAAAAGAGCAGTCAGATATCTGGAAATCTTGTCAGTCCAGAATATGAACGAGACAGTAAGTTTCCCTGGCTTTTAATTTCTTCATTAATTTAAGATCCAAGGAACTGTGGGTTTTGTTCACTTGGTAGAAACAAACAACAAAAAAAAAAGGTTACTTTTTAAACCCTGATTTACCAAAAAAATAAAAGCCCAGAGATTTGCAGACATAATAAAATTTATTTAAATTCCATGCATTACGGTAGCTACAAGTGTAGTCATATGAAACTGAAGGACAATAACTTCTTCTGTCCATACAATGTAGCTGTAAGTGAAATGAATGGGAGTTCCACAGTTACAAAGAAACAAACAAAACAAAAAAAAATCCAAAAAAGGTAAATCTGTTTCAGTTTTGAGTTTCAATTCAGGTACAGTCACTAGACTGTAAATCTTTGGGGGAGAAGATGGGCTCACTAATTTTACAGCTGAGAATGTTTATTTTAAGATATTCTGAAGAAGCTCAGAAGATACCTTTTAATAATTACTACTAATTCTCTGGAAAATGAAAAAAATCCCTTAGCCTTCATCCTAATTGTTAGAATCAGGACAGCAATTGCAGACAGTCCATTTTCAAAGTGCAGCTAAATAGGGTTTTATTATGCAGCTCCTTCAAGTTGTACTGAGTAAGCTTTACTTTGAACCAGTTTTGCTTTAATTTCTCAAGAAAAACTTCACTGGTCCTCATAAGCTTACATTGCTTTTTGATATGCAAAAATTTACAGACTGTGCTTGATTCTGACCCTCCCATATTTCAGTATGTGCAAACTCTTAGGGATTTAAATAGTCTTTCTCCCTCTCAGTTCAGACTGATCTTTAAAACAGCAAGGATTATCCAGCCCTCTCAATTAAAGACAGGGTGAACCGAGTAATTTATGTAACTGGCACTTTTTAATTGGCCCAGTTCTCCCACAAAATGTAGCTCTTATAAATACTAATAGGCACTATTGCCACAGATTCTCTTATTTTTGCAAGTTTCGCTGATTTACTGGTTGTTAGCATTTTCTGCAGTTAAGAATTTAATAATGCTGAATTTTTATAAAGACACAATATGTAGTTCTAGCCTTCAAAATTGACTTCCTGTGTCTAGTAATGATGTTAGGTCAACCTAAATTTGCTGACGATATTAACAAATGTAAAGCTAATGAAGGTGCCACATTTGCATGAATGTTTTTTAATTTTCAGAATGCATTCAAGAAAGGGAAGGGGCAAACCTAATTATTTTAATACAAACTTGGTTGAGTGCCCAATTGCCTCATTTAAAACTGTGTGTGTGGGGAGGCTGAGGAGTTTAGAAAAGTCCAAGTAACCAAATATCTGGGTTACTGGGAAGTTAAAAAGCTAATGCAACTGCGTTACATCCGGATAAAAAACATTATTCAAAAGCAATTCCAATACCGAAAAAGATTTCAAATTGAATAGTTTATTAACATGGTAGTCATCTTTGTAACATGTGCACACACACTCGCACACTCTGAATGATCTGCCTGGAAAAAAGAGGTCTTAATATAGATGCTGGGGGAAATTAAACATTAAAAATCCTTTAGATTTTCATAATTATAGGCAATTATGTCCACATCACTTACAAAGCTATTGCCGAATCTTTCCAAGGAAGCAGAATTTGGGAGAAAAAAAAATTGTTTTTGGGAAAATTCAACAGTGGCATAGCAGAGCTCTCAATATGAGAAAGCTGACATAATGTGGACCTTTGCTGTGAAATTTGTCTTTGCAAAATATGGGGAGAAGTTTATCAATGGGCAGAAAATAAGACGGCGGTGTGAAGTAGGCTTTTGCTGAGTCGATTTTCCTCACAGTATTGTGCGGGGTCATTGAGAAAAATGCTTAGTCCTTCTCTGGAACCAGTTTCAGAACTTTTCCAATTGCAATGGTCTTACCTAAACCAAGGAGACAAACAGCAGAGTTATATTTACTGTGAAAGGAATGCAGACATCTCCAAGAACATGAAAACTTGCCCCAAAATACAGGCTCTCAAGTATAAGAAATCACAGAGAATAAATTATGTTGCAGCATCAGCAGATTTTAAGAGCACGATAAAAATTTAAAAATACTAAGCCTGCTATTCTGACAGCAAAGAACACCATGTGGATTGGGGAAAGCCTGCTTCTACACTCATCTCAGGAGAAAGCAAGGTAGAATCACTACCATATCTGTTTACTATTCTTCAAATACTTTATTTTAAACACATCCCACAAATCTGTGAGTTTTACCAGGGTGTGCATGTGAAAAGCCTAACGTACAACCCCCCTGGTATTTTTCAACTTTAAATAGTGAAACTGTGGTATTTGTATTGTAGGTGGACATTCCAGGACACATTAAAAAAGCACTGATGGTTATTTTTCAAATCCAGTCTTTTGTTTCACAATGCATATTTCTGTACATTATTCAAACAAAACTCTCTGTTACTAGCAAGGACTCTGCACAATGACAACAATTTGCTTAGATTAACTTTTCCATTGTTACCCAGAGAGTGATTTCCACTAGATAACAGCATTTTAATACCTCACTGCCATATGGCTCTGAGTCCAATAAGTTTTTGCAGCAGCCAGTACCTGCTGCTGAAGCAGCCTTACCCTCATCCCTTAAGGTGAAGCGACCCATCTGAGGGAAATCTTTGAATGTCTCAAGGCAGATCGTTCCTGCTGTCCTTAAACGGGCAATGCAGACTTGATCTTGTTTCACAAAACGGGGCCGTGTCTTACTTTTTTCTCCTGTTTTTTTGTCTACCAAGCAGATTAAGGCCTGGGTAAGAAAGAAAAAATAGTTGTGAGTGCTAAAATAAGAATTATTTTTCTTCACAAACGGAATTGGTCTATGAAAGAACATACTTACAAACAAATATATGAAAAAGTTTGCATGGTTTATTCAGTCATGATGTACACCACTTTTCAGAAGGCTTATGCTAATAGTTACAGACATTTTTATTTGTGTTAGGGCAACCCAGAATTTCATTTAAGGCTGGAGCTTTGTTGCTTTAGCTGCTCTACAAATGTATGACATGAAAGAACTCTTCATCCCAACAACTGGATTGTTTACATTCACATCACAACTCAAAATCACACTTACTGTTATCTCAACTTCTTCAATACAGGTGTGGATGTGCAGCACTGCATTATAACCTGGGCAGATAATGGATTTGTGCTCAATTATCACTATCTGTAAAACAATTCAAAGTAAGTGCATTTTTCCTAATTTCAGTTATAAAAGAACAGAGAATAATCAATGCAGAACTATATTTAAAAGTCTCTTGAACAATATACACACAATTTTTTATCAAAGAGCTAAAATTTATAAGTTTTTAATATGGAAGTAGAAAACGCAAGAATTAGTCTGATGAGGTCTTGTTTCACCATTATAAGTATCTAAAACTTCATTGAGAAGTCACATTCAAAACAACTTATATTTTAAAAACTCAAATTAATGATGTCAGTGTTAAGTATATACATTATTGCCCATTTAGAGATATGGCAGTGAGTAAGAAATCTAAACTGAAACTTCAAACTACTGAAGTTTTAGATTTGGCAAAACATAAAGTATTTCCATGGTTTTTACCCCTCTATAGAGCAATTAAATGTTTTTATTCTACCTGGGCATCAAATGTGCGTCCAGAATGACAAAGGTTGTTGAGATCACAGAGAATAAATCCTGGAAGGATCTCTTCCTCTTCAATTCCCTTCAGTCTGATCTTTAGATTTTCACCTGGGGCTACTGAGTCAGTTTCTACATCATCAGAAAGAATTCCAAGAACTTCCACATTGTGCTTCAAGAAAACAAAAACATAGTTTTGCACTATGAATATTTTAGTCAGGGACAAAATAACTGTAATATAACAATGTTTCAATAAAAAATTCCATTGCAGTTTAATTATATTTGGTTCTGTCAAGCTTCAGGACATTTAAAATATTTGAATGATGAATTACTAGTACCTGAATTTTTTAAAAGAAGTTTTTTCTTTTTCAAGGTTTTTTTCCCGTTTCCCCTTGGGGAAAAGAAATAAACTCTTGAGCAATATTAACCCACAGCAGGTAAAAGGCTTAGTGGGCCAACTGTACAACCATGAAATAAAATGCAGTTGAAGTGTGATAATTTGTAGTCCAGCAACTGAATTTATTAAGGCAGGAGAACCCAAGTTCTGACTGCTAAGGAGCTACACAACACCCCTGTCTCCAGAAACATCACCCATGTAAAATGTGAGAGCTTAGTTTTGTTCAACAAAGCAACAGAACATTTTCTGATTTAAAGTAATGAGTATCTTTAAGAACAAAGCTCTTTTTTTATGGTAGTAATTTTTTAAAATATGTAAACCTTACCATACCTTGTTTGGCATCATCACAAGCTGTTGTCCTTTGCAAATAGAGCCCGACTCCAGCTTCCCAAGGACCACAGTGCCCATGTCCTTCACAAAAAGAAATCATTACATAGCAACTGAGAACATTTTCCTAAAGAGTCCATTATTTATGATTTACCTCTGAGTTTGATTACTTAACTCTATGAATATCTAGCACCGCTAGACTTAGTATTTTGGAAATTGTTGTCATGAAAGATTACAGATTTAAGGAGTTTCATATAATGCCAAAATTATTTACTTCCCCTTCCCTCCTCTGTTCTGCAGTTGGAAATGTAACATTAGCAAAGAAAAAAAGATACCCTCTAAAAGTACAGTAAATAGTCTATTTTCTGCTTTCTGAAAACAGCCTCTTCATCCTTTCTATATTATTATTTTAATCTGTACCTTATATTTATCCACAATTGGCAGCCTGATTGGTCCATCAACTGAACGGTTGAAGTTTGGCAAATTATCCAGGTATGGAATAAATGGTAATCCACTAAAAAAGCAGAAGGCATTTGTTTCAATTTCACGAGCACCCTTTCATTTAAAAAAACTACTCAAAATGGATAAATGCAGTCCAACAAAAGGCATCATATTCATCTTGTCATCATTTAGAAAAATGACCTCTAAGACAGCTAAATCTATTATAACATCCCATCAGTAGTGTCCACTTTAGCTCAACCAACATATTCATACCCAGGAAATGCATGTTTTTAAGTTAAAGCTTTTTATTAATTATTAATAATTAATTATTCCTTTGAGACTCACAACAGATGTGTAATATATTTTGGAAATACAAAACCAAAAGCTAGGTCCAAATGTGACTTCCATTAATTCTTTTTAAAGTACACTGAACAGTATTGAAAGACATGACATGCACTGAGAGCCATGGCTTGTCCCTAATTATAATACAGCTTCAAGCAAACTGCTCACATCAAACAATTACTCATCCTAGCAACGTCAGCTGCAGCATCACTGGCAAATTCTAGAGCTTGTAAGGCACTGAACTCACTCAGCCAAAGAACACTGCTAATATTTTACTAATCATCTTCTGCAGTTTGCAAATGCTTTTCATTGGCACGCTGCATGGCTGTGTTTCCTCAAGCACTTTGGCACACAACTACACACCATGCTCTGCTACCTCCCAGCTTCACTGAAGCATTTACTTTTATTGAAATATAGCAAATATTCAAGTTGCTCAATGTAAGATACATACATATACCAAGGACAGAATTCTGACTGTTCTTTGAGGTTTGCTCCAGTCAGTCCTGAGCAGGGCATGAAATGAATGTCCTTTTTGGGATTGAAGCCAACTTTCTTCAAAAATGGCACCAGTTTCTCTTTACATTCCTCATATCTATTAAAATGACAAGCAGATCAAGGTAAGTTCCACTTATTTCATCATGACACAATCCTGTGCTTTAAAAAACATGCAGACATTTCAGTTCCATCAGTTAAGTTACTGTGTGAGCAGCAAGCAAGCCTAATTAAGATCTGGAGGCCTATTTGCATCTTCTCCCCAACCTTCAGACAGCTCAGTATTGTCTGTTCCCCTATTCCCCTCACTCCTCTGCTCCATAAAGCATTGTCAGTGCTCTCCCCATGCTGCAATGACAGGGCTGGGGAGCAGCAGCACAAGCTGGAACTGCTTAAAGAGAGAGATCCAGGCCAGCACAGCAGGACAGATCACCCAGACACCTCCTGAGGTCAGGCTGCAGGCTGGCACTGTCTCCTTCACAGCTTCTAGAGGTTTAATCTATTTATTTCTGTGACACTGCCTCATCTCAGTTTGGGCTGAATTCAGTAATGTCAGAGGTTGGGGCAGGACCAAGACAGAGAACTGGGTGTGCCTTTGTCTCTGAGTGAAGCAGGCTGACATTCCAAGGTTGCACAGGCCCTCATGGCTTCCACTAAAACTTCCAATGCTGGGCAGAACACACAGCAGGTTCTCTCACAACTCTGGCAAACTGGACTACTGAAAACACAATCACTTCCTTTTTTAGACTCAGTATAAAGTTTCCAAGTCAACAATTAAACTATGCTAGAATGCATGGGGGGTTGTTAGATATGTCTGCATGGATCCAAGCAGTTGACAGTGAATGCTGGAGTGTAGAACTGAGAAGCACTGTCCTGGGCATGGAGCTTCTGGTTTTCCTGCCAGTTTTATAACCTCTGTTTTTAGTCCACCAGTCAACAATTCTTTCAGGAATAATGGGATACAAAAATTACTTTACCTAGGAATGATTCTATTATAGCATCTGTCAATGAAATTTAGTTTTTTAATATTAAACTCACCTTTCATTACTCCAGTTTACAGTTGGATCATCCATTTTATTAATAAGAACTATTAAATGCTTTACACCTGCTGTTTTTGCTAACATGGCATGTTCTCTTGTTTGTCCACCTTTCTCAAATCCAGTTTCAAATTCTCCTTTTCTTGCAGAAATAACCTAATTAAAGATACATATTTTAATAAAAGTTCTACAATTCCCTCAAGAGAACAATCAATAACACTGCCTTATTTTTTAATATAATAATATATAAATAATATATAAATTATTTATTAAATTAAATTAATTAATTAAATTAAATTAATTTAAATTAAATTAAATTAAATTAAATAAATTAAATAAAATAATAATATAATAAACTTTGGGTAGTCAGACCTAGTAAAAAGCTTCCAAAATGCACTGGTATATTCTCAGTATTACCCATTAGTCTCAACAGAACAATCAATAACACTGCCTTATTAAAAAAACTTTGGGTAGTCAGACCTAGTAAAAAGCTTCCAAAATGCACTGGTATATTCTCAGTATTACCCATTAGTTTCTGCATTGACATGTAAAAAAATCAAATGATACCAGTGGACAGCTTTAAGAAGCTGTTAAATTACTCCAAACTCACTCATCTCAGTAAATGTAACATTTGAAAATTCTGCCTGCTGTAAGTAACCAAAAAGAATAAAGAAGTAAACAAAAAATAAAAATCAGAAGCTTAATTCCACAGCACATGCAAAATAAAAGTATCTGATTTCTCCTTACCAGCACAGCAAGATCAGCTTGAGAAGCCCCACCAATCATATTTGGAACAAAGCTCTTGTGTCCAGGAGCATCTAAAATAGTGAAGTGTTTCTTCTCCGTCTCAAAGTAGGCACGACCCACTTCTACTGTTTTACCTTTGTCTCGTTCTTCTTGGTTTGTGTCTAAGGCCCACGAGAGGTACCTAAAAAAATCCCAACCCAAATACTCCATTGTTCTATTGATTTTCATTACATTTATATATAATTTATTTATCATTTATTTATTACATTTATATATATTATTTGTTAGTCATAAGATACTTTATTTTTGCTTACTTATTTTAATCACCTCAGCATTGCTAAAATTGGTCTTGGAAATACTTAACTACCTGATTTGTGTCTACAGTGAGCTGCAGAGCCCATTGCCAGCTCTCCTTCACACACCTACAAGGATTCATTCCCTAAAATTCCAATAAACAGTTTTCATTTTCTGAGTTCTTCAGCTGTGATCTAACCTCATCTAATTTAAACTTTGCCTCAGTCTCAGAAACACCTCAGGATCAAATACAAAACAATTTTTCCTTCTCAGAAAAATTAACTAAAGCAGTTATGACTTGCACATATCATTATTGAGGATTATAATTACCAGTTCTCATTTATTTGCACATATTAAGCAGAAGCTGGCTATGAAATAGACACCATCTTTATTCACACTATCTTTGATAGATTTTCATTATGTAGACTCTTGTTCCCCTCCTAATAATTTTTCCCACTGGCCACCAACAAGCTAGCTTTCAGTCAGGTAAACTGAAATTTCAAAACAAAAAAAGTTACTTAGATCCTTCAGGTTTTGTGAAAACTGGTGAATATAAAGAAGAAAAAAAAGCTCTTACTAATGATAAAAACGTGCTCATAACTCAATGGGACTGGTTTAACATAGTAATATCTTTTGCCATTAACAGCAGCCTGTAGACATCCTTGGCTTTTGTTCTGTAGTGACTGGGGGGTGTCTGAAGAGATGCTGCTTGGATGATGTTGCTTGGTGAAAAGAACTATGTCACCCTTTCTATTCCCCTCTCACACAACATTAGTGAGTTCAGGTCAGTGCCCATCCCCTGAGGATGCTCTACTCCTAAGTCTTCAACTGCTCCTTTTCCAGAGCCCTTTGAACCCCTTTTATCCTCCAGCCAAAAGGAAAAAGCTTTCAAAAGGGAAATCAATTTTGCAGGAGTTGTTTGAAGCAGAAATCAGGCTGCTACATGTGCTGTATACACACACTGCCCCCAAAAAACCCAACCAACCCAAAATCTACAAAAGCCAAACCAAACAAGAGGCCCACAAAAAATCCCCCCTGCACACGAGCAGCATCGTGCCTGGAGGAAGCCAGGGCTGCTGGGATGAGACTAAAACCAGTTTCATTGCAGTAAAGGGCAAAGTGTGCTACTATCTTCACAGAGTTCATACCATGTTTCTCTGTTTTTTTCTTTAGCTTCTCTTTCATATTTTTCAAGTGTTCTTTTGTCAACCATTCCTGTCAAATACCTAAGAAGAGGGAAAATAAAAGTGCAATTTTACACAAAGCAGAAATGTATTTCCAAATAATTACTTATACAATCCCCACAGATTATTATGATTGGGAAATGAAGACACTAATTTTTTTTAAATCTTCACAGAAAGGACAAAGTTTAACCAATGGTATAAAGCTGCTTCAAATTTCATTTTAAAATACAAAGAAAAACAGCCACGCTCTAAGAAAATTATTAATTTTTAAAATTTGATAATGTTTGCTTTTGTATAGTTACTTCCATTAAGTGAAAATCCTATAGCAATAACATTCATGTGCTGGAATTAAGAAATTCCAAAGACAATAAATACCTCAATTGACAGGGATAGCATATTAACATATGCTAATTAAAGCCACAAAGAAAATATTACTCATTTTAATTGATGTTTTTTAATTCACAAGAACAGGAAATTTTAAAATTTCAGTTTCCTTACATTATTTGTCCTCCAATAGTTGACTTGCCAGCATCTAAAAAAAATTAATTCAAGTCATCAACAATGTAAAACTCTAGAAACAGCAGACCATTATGAACTAAGTCATCTTTTTGGAACCATAATCGAAATTTTTGGAAGCATCTTGCACCTTCCCATGTTCCCACTATAATTTGTTGCCAATTAAATTACACCAAATTTTGAACAAGCTGTTTTCATATATACAAATTCAGCATTATCCATAACAAAAAAACCTCACCAAGCAGTGATCCAGCTAAAGCCAGGGTCAAGAGTGTGGGAAGCTCTTGCAAAATCCCTTTCCCTGCTTCCTTCATCCTTTCTTCCTAATTTGTGTGGGCTGCTCTTCAATACTGGGATGTACCTCTGCCCACAGCCCCTTTACTTTGTGTGACTCTATTCTGAATTTACTCAAGGACCCAAATTACAGTACTTTTAAGGTGGTAAGTAACTATAGAAATTGAAAGACAGAATTTATAGTGTAACTTGTGATTCAATAATTCTTCTCTACTTCTGGCACCACACAAGTTTTTATGAAGCTTGTTGAAACTATTAAATGAAGATATTTTGCTACAAATGCTTCTTTTAACCATGAATTATGTTAATATACCTACAAATTTTAGTATTTAGAATAATATTTTTTTAATTCAATAGCAAGAACCCTAAAATAAGCAGAAAAGAAGCACCATTTTCTTCTGATTTTGTTCTTCAGATCATAAATACAGATATGTCACTTGAGCACTCAACAGGAGCAGGTACTTCAGAAATCATGAACACAGGCACTGTTGTTTCCAAGAGAACACACTCTACCCTTGGCCCTCTACCCTTGAAAGACCTTTAAATTTTTCCTTTTCCAGAGCAGCTTCATCAGAATGAATATTCCTGTTCTTTATATTCACCAATGCTTCACATGGTTAATATAAAGAACAGCATTAATTCCTAATCCTCTGAGTTCTAGATGGTACACAACAGACAGATCCAACTACTTCACCCTCACTTAACACTTACCTACGTGTCCAATGAATACTACATTTACGTGCTCTTTTTTAGGAGCACCTGGAGGTGCTACAACAGATTTCGGTTTTGGTATTTCCTCCTCCTCTTCCATCATTTCCTGAGCGCTCTCTTCAGAAGGCCCCGCATCCCCTGCAGGACCACCTCCCAGCTCTGCTTCACTGGGGTCTTCTTTGTGGTCCCATGACTCTTCTGGGGACATTTCTGTCTCTCCATTTTCCACTAAAAATGAACCAATTGGATATATTCAAATAGATGAAGAAATTTAAAAGAACTACCCTGGAGAAAAGCCCCTGCCCCAAAGGTGCAAAAACAAGGCTTTAACTGCCAGGTCTGTTAACATTTCCTACAGAAAAAGGGACAACTGCTGCTTGTTCCTGAAATTATTAATACCAGCAGCTTTCAAGCTAGCTTGTGTGCTGACATCAGAAATCTAAGATACAGAAACTTCTGTTTTAACAAAGCAACAATTTTACAAAGAAAAAGCAGATCTGAAGATCCACTCAGACCAGCACAGCAGTCTGAATCCACAGACACACACTACCATATGTTTAGAAAGCAAAGGAGAGGGATTCTAGTTTAAGTTCAGTCATAAGCCATATAAAAACAATGAGAAAGATACAATTTCCATGTTCTGACTGTTCACAGTGCTGACCACTTTGAAGTTTTTTGCTAATCACCATTCCACACATGCTAATGGGGCTATTTGGTAATACGAAATAATTTTTTAATAAAGCACTCATCATTTTACGGTGTCCAAGCAATCCAGCTGCAGCTCTCAATGCACACTAGTGTTCAATTACTTCTTTCCTCACCCAAGGATAAAGATACAACAAAGTACACCAAGGTCTATTTGTAAGTGTAAAGGCTCTCCTATGTTTGCAGTGATTCAGCAAAAGCACTGTGATAGCACATTATAGTACTATCATAGTACAAAGGAACAATTCTCATCTTACCAACAGATTCTGAAATTTCCATGTTAACAGCAGCATTTGAACCTAGAAGAAAAAAAAAGGGGGGGGGAAATGAATCATTAAAGACACATATCATGACAGTAATCAAGAACAAAGAAAAATGAGTTACTAAATTAATAAAAGGATAGTTCAGATGTTTTGGCACTTGCCAAAGCTTTTTAATATACAGGTTCATTTCAAAAATTCTGCTTCATGCTAGTTTTATGATCTTCCATAAGCCACTTTATGAGCTCTTCCCAACTGCCTATGAAACTGTAAATAAATGCAGATAATCACATTGCCTTACAACAGTAGTATGAGGATAATGAAGATTGGAAAAGGTTCATAGAGATTTAGAAGAGATTATTTGCAATAATTTTTTTAAAAATTGTGTAATGAGGATAAAACAGCTACCTTCACAAGAGGCTGTCTGCTCCTCTGGAGAAGGCTCTGCAGGTGCACCTGCAGAGAAAAAGAGTTTATCTTTTAAAGTACAATGATGTGACCAATTTCCAAACTTTGCCACAAAAGATCATCTCCCAGCTTTACTGCAAGACGTGTATGGAAAGAATGACCACTTCCCTCCCTGCCAAATGGTACTAAACACAGCCTCTAAGCACAAATACTGCTAAAGAACACTGTCTAAACATGGTGAAAATAATATACCACTTCTAAAAACAACCCATTTTCCCCCTGAATGGAAAGATACACTTAAAGCAAGCCATTTTTCTATATGCTGTATTTTACTTGCCCATCCTTTTTGAGCACGCTGGCTATTGGTAAGTGTTGTGTCTAACTGGTGTTCAAAAATATTGAAGCAGTTTCACTGTATCCAAAGACACAATGCGGCATCACAACTGCAGGAAAAGGGTCTTATAGCTATGTCTACACTGCTCTTGTGCCTCATTTCCACTAAATGTTGAGTAGAAAATAGAAAGAAGCTATTAAAAACAAATTCTTAACATCTTGTGTAGTTGTTAAGGTCAAGTGATGATAAATTCATGCAGATGTTTGGTAAGTTTGCCAGTCTTCTTAAACACCAGAGCACAGTCCCATTCCGTGGAGGGCAATCTCAGTGGTCATGTGCATCTATCAAAGCTACAAGTATGGTTTTCTGGATAAATTACTCAACCCTCTCATGCACTAAACCATGCCACTACATTTTATGCTGAGGTGTAACTAATTATTTAACCTACTAGGAGTGATAAATTGCAATTAACACTTACACCACTTGATGTTTTGGGATGTTATTTCACGTGAACAAGGGGCTTTCTGTAACCACACATAAAACCTTAACCGATTTAGTTTTCTCTTGGTATAAGTTCAACTTCATGATAATGCTTTGAAACAAGTTATTTTTCCCAACCACATACAAAATTCATATCCTCTGTTTAGCTGTACTCCAGCTCTCCTTCAGCTGGATTCCAAACACAGATCTTAGAGCATCACTTGCTCTATACGCATGATGGGACCTAAAGATGAAACAAATCCCCTCAAAAGAACAAAGCCATACAGAGAAGGAGCTGGTTCTAAGCCTCTTTGCTTTCGCACTGTTTGCGTAGTTGCTGCAGACTCCTCTAAAGTGGAGCAGCGCTGGCAGAGCTGGCAGGGGGCCAGAGGACAGGGCTTGCAGGCAGGGTGAATGTGGGTCACTGCACAACATCAGGGGCCGGCAGCAAAGCGGGGAGGGGGCACAGCAACGCCCGACTGAAAGCATTCCCTGCACTCCTGCCTTGGATCACACGTGAGCTGCACTCCCCAAAACAAACCAACCAGGCTAGAAGAGAATGATTTCATACAGTCACTAAAGCATAAGAAAGAATAGAACACCCTTAGATCCTTTTAAGAAATGATCTATCGTTCCCATTTGGCAGCTGGAAAAGACTCCAAGCAGCCCATTTTTGAGTGTGGTAAGCAGGTGGCACAGAATCTAGGTATGAACCTACAGCCTCCATTTTGTAGCACATCAGCAGATTGTTGGCTATTTCACACATGCTGTGGTTGGGATGCATAAATATTTTAATTACAAGATCATTTCAACAAGCTTTTGATTTCACTCCAGAAGTTTGTCTGTAATGAAAAATGTATCAAATGGCAATATTAATGCACTTGCCTTGGAACAGACGTTCTACGAGTGGCTGGAGAGCTCGTTAATTTTTGAGAAATATATTGTCAATCAAAACCATTCATATAAACTCAGGTTTTACTTTCTGGTCTGCAATACAGCAGGTATGCAGACAGGAAAGAAATTTCTTCACAACTAACAGAGAGGAAGTAGAATAAAAATTCCCTCTGTAAATTTTGTACAGGTCTAGCACAGGAGAGTCAGAAAGACAGTTTGTGCACGGATGCTAAAGAGCAATAGTGCCACACAACCAGGGGGGTACAGATATTCAGCTATAACCACAGCCATTCATTAAACTCTGGTCACTTTGGTACACAAGTGGCAGACATGCTTTGGAAGAGGACACTGAATTGTATCAAACATATACTGTTTCTTCAAAGCAGAAAGAAACATAAACCACTCACTAAAAAAAATTATTGTTAAGAAACCAAATAAATAAAGAAACTTAATTTCAAAACTAACATACTCTAAGTGACAAAAACCCCCACTCTCCATAGTAACTGTTCATTTCTGATAAATAATTTCAGGTTATGTCAGGTTATTTCAGACAAAGGCTCAAATTTACCATACTCTGTGGAATTGAACACATTGCCTGAAATGTGCCTTAAGACCATCATCTGAAAAGAAGGATGCAATCCTACTGCTTCCTTAGACCACAGGACTGGTGCATTTTGGTCTGTCACCTCTTCTCATTTGTGAAGATCATCCAGACAGGAATCTTTCATATGAGAGAGACTCAAAACGTACTTTGTAGGAAATCTGATTTTAAAGTCAGGATATGCCTTAAGTGATGCCAGTTTTTTAATGCCTCTAACTACTGGATTTATGCAAGACAAGCAACTCTTGGATTTTACACCTAACCATCTCCATCTCCTCTTCAAGCCCTAAGTCAGGAACTGCTGTTGCAACCTTATCCGTGGTATTACAGGGACTGAGCGGTTTATCTTTAGTCCTGCTCAACATCAGAGCCTTAGGACATTTTTTGGAATATCTTTGTTGTCAATGCCAAGCGCAAAAATGGATACAGATGCTGCATTTATCTACTGGTTCCACCAGACAATGACATTATATAATTCAGAGTTTTGTCCTGAAAAGGTAATTGTGGGGATTTCTTAAATGGAAAATTCATTGGAAGAGTATGTACACTACCAAGTGTCCAAAATCACACAACTTGTAAAACACAGTGACTGGTCTCTTTAAAATACATCTCATGTCCTGAAGAATCCACTCTGCCTACTTCATTCACACAGCATTCTACTACTGATGAGCTTGCTGCATATCACAGCAAGTTTTGTACTTGTCTGTGTTTTTGTTGTACAATAACCAAAGCTGCACAAGTACAACAAATTTGAAGTTATCATCCAACCTCTGAAAATATTGATTCTAAAGACTATAAGCCAGGAACTTTGCAGCATTAACATATTCAAATGCTTGTAGATAAACAACAGAAAATTGATCTTTAATTAAATTTATATTAGAATGTAGCAAGTTTTTGTAACTACTGGATTTATGCAAGACAAGCAACTCTGGGATTTTACACCTAACCATCTCCATCTCCTCTTCAAGCCCTAAGTCAGGAACTGCTGTTGCAACCTTATCCGTGGTATTACAGGGACTGAGCGGTTTATCTTTAGTCCTGCTCAACATCAGAGCCTTAGGACATTTTTTGGAATATCTTTGTTGTCAATGCCAAGCGCAAAAATGGATACAGATGCTGCATTTATCTACTGGTGCCATCAGACAATGACATTATATAATTCAGAGTTTTGTCCTGAAAAGGTAATTGTGGGGATTTCTTAAATGGAAAATTCACTGGAAGAGTATGTACACTACCAAGTCTCCAAAATCACACTTGTAAAACACAGTGACTGGTCTCTTTAAAATACATCTCATGTCCTGAAGAATCCACTCTGCCTACTTCATTCACACAGCATTCTACTACTGATGAGCTTGCTGCATATCACAGCAAGTTTTGTACTTGTCTGTGTTTTTGTTGTACAATAACCAAAGCTGCACAAGTACAACAAATTTGAAGTTATCATCCAACCTCTGAAAATATTGATTCTAAAGACTATAAGCCAGGAACTTTGCAGCATTAACATATTCAAATGCTTGTAGATAAACAACAGAAAATTGATCTTTAATTAAATTTATATTAGAATGTAGCAAGTTTTTGATATCTAGAACAGGTACAGCTGGTAGGAATCAATATCAGAACAGTGGTTAAGACACAGTATTAAAGCTAAACTCAACTGCTAAGCAGTAGTGACAACCTCCATCTTCACACAAACCTCAGGGTTCACCAGATGCACAGGAAAAGCTGAAAAAGGTCTCCACACAAGTAAGAACTGCCCAGTGGTTAACTGGTAATTCCTCAGCAGCAGTTACCTGAACCACAATGCAAATGCATTCACAGAATTGATGAGAGGCATAAATTTGGTGCAATACACAGCAGCACTCAGCTCCAGCCTGCTCTGCTGCTGGAGTGATAAGAACCCAGACAGGACTGGAACCTGACAACTGGGGTAAACTACAGAGTTAATGAAACTGCACCACACAGCAGAGAGAAGGAAAAACAAAAAGTTAAAAAAAAAAAAAAAGAAAAAAAGGGCAAATTCAGCCTGAAATAAACATCTTATCTACAAAACTTAGATGCCTGTATAGTGAATTTGTTATTGCTTCTCTAATACAGGCATTAAGTTCCTTCTTCACAGGAATTCCTGAAGAGTGAAGAAACACATGACACCCACCTCAGGATTCCCATTACCTTTTTGTATGTGTAATTCCAATACCTGAGTTCAGCACATATTTACACAACAGTCATACAGTTCCAACAGTTTTCATGCATTACGTAACAGATGTTTGCTCCCCCCTTTTTTTAAATGAAAGCATAAAGGGAATTACAGCAGATTAAAAAAATAAAAGTCCACATCAAATGTACACAGCCTGCAAAGTAGAATAAAAAAGCCCCAAGAGATTCTTCGATAACAAAACCACACAAAAAATTATGCCAAGCACAAATAAAGCTACACAAAGTGCTTTATATTCAATACTTAAAATTGTACAAAAAGAAAAGGTTTTCAGGAGTTCACTGTAAGGCAGTTGTTTTGAAAGTTAAACCCAAAATTACGTTCTTCTCTCTGCCCTGCTTGTAGCCTATGCCCCAGCTTCACCACTGGATACACCAGTTTTTAAAATGCACCAGTGCAAGAGCAGCTTTAATAGTTTAACGTGACTCTGTAAAATTCACCAAAAGAATTAGCACTTGTTTCATATTCATAGGCATTTATTACATGTTAGCTTAGTAAAAGACCCACCTTCTTCCTTCCCCAGTGAG